CCCCCCCCTGCCCCTCTCTGCACTTGAGTTTTGCTAATCCGAGAAAACTTCAGAGACAGTTGTTCTGGTGATTTTTTTTCCTTTTATGTGTAATCAGTGGAATATGGATATGATGTTCTTAAGACTTTTAATTTTCCCCTTTTATGTGTTGCTTCTTTGTAGAATAAAAATTGCTGATCTCTTTATCGAGACGTTGCGTAGAATGGGAAAAAAAAATCATAGAAGTCTATATTTATATATATGTGTGTATGTGTGTGTATATATATGTATATACATATATATATAAATATAACATTTGAAGAAGGCCTTTTGTAAGGTTGATTATTTTGCAGGATTATTAGACAAAATTAATTTTTGGAGGAAGAAGACAGAGTGTCCTCTCTAAACAAGAAACTTTAAGATAGATGGTTTGGTGGACCAGGGTACATATACAGTGACAAAAAAAAGGTAAATCATGCTCGAGGTATTTCCCGTCAATATATTGCATTTCAAAAAAACCATCTAAAATCACTGTGACTTGTTATGGCATTTTAAGGAAATTCTCTGTCCTGTCTAATAAAAGGAAAAAGAATACACAACCGGACTTCATTTGTTGCAGTTTTATAAATGACTTGATTTTTTATAGCTATGTCAGAGAAAGGATGGTTTTTGTTACCTTTTGGTTGGCGGTGTTGTGTTTGATGGTTGGTTGGGGTTGTTTCCTGTTCTGGCTTGGTTTTTGCGGGTGCAGGAGCTGATCTAGCAGATCTCGTGCACGGCACTCCCCCTTGCTGGATCCCTCGTGGCAGTGCCAAGCCCCAGGCTGCGTGGGATCGGTTTTGATTTGCAGGGGCAGATCCTGGACCGTGCTTTGCCGTGAAAGGTTGGAACCTGGTGGTCTCTGTGTCTGTGATTTTGGGCTGGTTCCTTGCGATGTGTTGATCTGCCTGGTAGAGCAGAGCCTGGGATGAGAAGACCGACAGAAAGGAAGTGGATTTGCTGCCTGGTTCCTTTTCTTTGTGAGTTTGTTCTGAACTGACCGTGTTTTAGCGTGGGAGTCAGTGGATCGGAAAAGGGGATGAATGTGGCATCTTCCCAAGTGCAGTTTTTGACATCTTTTTATCTTTGCGGAAGAAATAATCCAGTCCTGTTCAGGATGAGGGTTACTCTGGGAGATCGCTGTGTGTAACTCGTGTCTTTGCCCGCAGTGGGACGTGCACCAAAGAGCAGCCCCTCGCCCAGTGCCCCCGTCCCCTCCGTCCGGGGCTGGGTCAGTGCCAGACCCCCGTGGGGTGAGGGGGGCTGGGGTGCAGGGGTGCTGCTCGGCTCCCGGGGGAGGTCGCTTAGGACGTGCTTGGTTGCTGACTGAATATTCTGGCCTTCGCACCGGGTTGTGTGTAGTACAGCTATTCACGAGCTCTTTTCCGTCTTCCTCTCTTTTTACAAGCAAACGCTGTGCAGGCAGAGTCCTGCTGCGGCCAGCGGGCGTTTTTGTGGGGCAGGGCAGGAGGGGGTCTCTGCCCAGGTGCGCTTCAGCCAGGACCCCCGTTCGGAGGAGCTGAGGGGCCCAAGCAGTCGCAGCTTCGCCTGCTGCTGGGGTCGGGTCACAGGACAGCCTGGTCCGTGTCTGCCCAAAACGCTCGCTGGCTGCAGCACAGCTTCTGCCGGCTGCTGTGACGAGAGGTTTATTCAGACACCCTGACAGATCCAAACCTCTGTGCTATGGCTGAGGCAGGAGTAACCCCTGCAAACCGAGACCGGCCGGGATTGTGCCTTCTGAGCTGACGTGGCCGAGAGCTGTGTTAAATCTGTTCATAAAGCCCTGCCGTGCTCTGCGGGGTTTGGTTTCGGTTTGGCTTTTCTGTCTTGCATCCTTGAGTCCAGTCCTTGCCTGTGTGGCTGGCACAGTGGACAAATCTTAAAGGATTCCTCATCCTTAAACCACATTTAAACAGATCATTTGTTGCCACTTCCCGTGCCCCATTAACGCCGTGGGTTTTATCTCCTTGCACGTGTTGGTGCTTTCCCAAGGACGTGCGTTTTGTGTGCCGGTGTTTCAGAGAGCAGCGTCAGGTACCAGGACGTTTGCTCGTCAGGAATCTTTCTTCTCCCCGGGAGCTGCGCGGTGCCGAGGTGGCCGAACCCCGTGGCTGTGAGCTCAGCCCCTGCACCGCTCCAGGCATCCCGGCCCTCGTCTGCCTGCTCCACAGCTACCAGAAACGTTGCTTTGGGGTTTGGATTTCTTTTTGCTTGGGTTTATTTTTTTGAAGTCAGCAAACTTCTCTCTGTTCTGTGGGAAGAGAGTGAACCACAGCCCTGCTCCCCCATGCCTGTCGTTCCTGCTCAGAAACTCGGGATTTACCCTCATGGTCTTAGAAATCATGTTCAGTACTGTATAACAAGGGGCACTTTAGAAATGTCTCTCCTCCTTTGATATATGTGTTTTCCCTATGGAGAAAGCTATATATAAATATATATATATGTACACTTTGGGATGCAGAAGATCTCATTTGTCCCAAAAAAAAAAAAGAATCAATAAATATGAAGTTTACAAGAAATCTCTTCTGTTGTTGAATAATATTGGTAACCATACTGCAGAAAAAATTAGCAGATGTGTTTTCTGTGTGGCAGTTTTGAGAAGCCTTTTCTGTCTGGTGAGGCCTGTAGGTCAGTGGAGATGCTCCCAGCACAGGCGGGCTCTGGGTCTGCTCCCCACAACAGCAAAAATGCGCTCAAAAAACCTCGATCTGTGCTCAGAAACCTCAGCCAGCCCGGCCGTGAGCGTGTGAAGCGGGCAGCAGCAGATCTGGGTGAGCAGACCCCCTTGGGCAGGCACGGTTACATGGAGAGATGCTGCAGCTGGATCGCGCTGCCCCAGGAGCGGCTTTGCTCTCGGAG